CCCCCCCCGGGCCTAGCATGTTCTGTTGGAGAGATGGCCGAGCGCACTACTTCGTAAGTGGAGGCTGGGATTGCGCACCGGTTCAAAGCAAGGTTATGAAGATTAAGTAGCAGCTAAAACTCGTTGAGTATAATGTACCGTACCTCGTGCCCCAACTGTCTCTATAATTGCACAAGTCAGACCGAACGCAAGCTTGGCTGACGCTCCTAGCAACACAAGTGACAAGGTGAGGAATTATCACAAGTGACTGCCTCCGCGTCCTCTAAACAGATCGCCAATTGAATTTCACTGTCGCCGAAATACTTCGTTCGAGCTAGAAGTTGATGGAAATCTGGGCCCCTAGCGGAATCCAGTCAACCGACATATTGATCTTATAGAGTTCCTTGCATTCAGCTCCAGACCTCTACCCTTTTCGTTGATTGGCTAATGACCGCCCTATAAATGTCATTTGTTTCGTTGGTCTTGCCATCTCTGACGATGGACCGCTGCGCGAGTTCTGAAGGACATAACACTTCCGTGGTCGCATACCTACTTGGAACTAGAATATTCGTCTCTGTTTATAACTTTATTTCTCGCTGGAGACGAAGTTGCGTGTGATTTTAGTGTGACGTCAGCTCCACGCGGACCTCTTCTCCGCTTACACACTTGCACCCCACCTCCCATCCCCTCCCCCGGCCGTCTGATATTGTTTTTTTTGTGTGCTTCCCTCAACCTTTATTGCACGGGCTTTTTGTATGTGATTAACTTGCGATTTCATTTAATTCCACCTGTCTGACTTCCGTTACCATGGTTGGCGATGCTGCTTGGGCGTCTACCGCTGGTTAAATATTTATAAACAGGGGATAGGGCGCGCCCTTCTATGAGTCAGTATATGATTGCATCGCCTTCCGGCAAGCAATGCCCGTCTTGATTTGTTTTCTCTTGTGTGGATTGCCGTTTTCCGTGAACCAATGCACCCTCGCAGATGTGCTTGCTCTTTTTTGAATCTCTACTAAGGCTACACCACGTTCAAGATTTCCCATCTGTATTGTGATGACCAAATTTGGTCGAAATTCATATATTTTGATTAATACTACTACTACCATCCACCGCAGAATGTCATTGAGCTCCTTACATTTACCAGTATAGAGGAAGAGGATGTGATCACTGGAACAAGAGTTTTATTTGCCTGACGTTTCGGATTCCGTCGCCTCGGGCACGACCAAATAGTCCTGCTCCCAAAGTTCTGCCTCAAGACGTACTTTACCTTCAATAGAACTATCTACGAGCAGGTGAAAGGCACGCCAATGGGTTCGCCCATTTACGGACTCATAGCAGAGGCGGTCCTGCAACGGTTGGATTCGCGGGTTTTCCAACGCCACAGACCGAAATTCTGGGCTCGGTATGTGGACGACACCTTCGTCGTA